ATTTATTTGCTTTCACTGTTTGAATAATATAAATCATACAGTAATGCTTTAATGCTTTTTTCGTGGTTCTATTTTATTTTATTGTTTTATTTCACTGTTCACAGAGAGTAATTCATGAAGAATGGAAGGGAATGGCTCAATTTGCCATTTCGGAGCGCCGATGCTGGCCTTCTACTCTCGGCAGTAGTAAACCAGGCAAAGCTCGTTGCCAATCCCATCCGTGTTTCTACCGCTAAATGATTCTCTGGCAGAATTCGATTCGCTTTGACTGCCTTTCTGCACTGAACTTAACTAAAATTTTCGTAGAAACATATTTAAACACTCAAAAAAATAACAATAAATTGTTTATAAGGTGAATGCGGCAACAGATCGACGCTCTCGAAAATGCCTCAAATTTACCGTCGGCCAGCGCAGTCGGCCTAAGCAATAACTGTTTGCAGAAGGACGACCGCACTGAGACTGACTTCTCGAATTTAGAGATCCACTGAGAAGAGATTGCAACCATAGAACTGCATTGAGATTTTTGTTTAAAAAATTAAGCTGAAAAGAAATTTTTTGCGATTTCTTAATTGAATGCTCTTTTAAAATGAAAGTGAAATTTTCGATTTAGGAAACATTTCACTTTTTTCCTATCATTGAACGTCTATTTTCAACCAAAAATGCAGTAATCAAATGTGTATAATCGATATTTTTTGTCGAATTAAGTGCTTTAGGGCAGAAGAATTTTCCAGTTTTAATAGCAGTTTTAACCAATTAATTGCCGAAGAATGAATGCATTATGCTTTTACGGGGTTAGGGGGAGCACGGAATTATAGTGGGGACCATGCGGGTGACGCCAGCGACTCATTTCAACTTCTATCGCCGAGTGAATATTTTAGCAATCTGCCTATACGTCTAATGGAGCGCAGTGAGCCCAGCCAAGACGCTCCTAGAAGGAAGAAAATATTTATGGATTGGAGTTCAGTTTGCTCATTTAAATGGAAATTTGGAGATTTTTAAAGTGAAATTCGGTTATAAAATGGCAAAATAAAAATTTATAAAGAAATTTCGAAGAATGTGGAAACACTCAAATTGAGAAAACGACGACTGAGCGCTATATTGCATCGATCAATCGTAAGCAGCAAGGTAATTCGATTCCTACGCGTTTAGAACAAAAGTAAACCTGTCACAGTGAGAGATTCTGCCAGAGGCACAACTGCGTCGCCATGCGCAATTCATTCTCACCTGCGGACATGGCAGCCAAAAGAGAAATGTTGCATGCTAGAAGAACAGATGCATAATGCATGTTGAATCGTGAAAAACCACGAAAATTATCTAAATTATCATATTCTAAACCCATGTATTTTTTTTTTTTCTGTATTTTTTTTCTTTTTAAGAGTCGTCACCACTACTGGCTGAACTCGCTCCGCTGACTTGTCGCACTGGACAAATATGCCAGCCAAAGGCTACAGAAGGTGGATCGCCAGCATCGCGCGGATTTTTGAAGAGGCTTGTTCCTGCCATGATTAGAACATCAGCGCTTCGAACTGGGCAACAACCCACTGAGCCATTCTAACTCCAAGCCCATGGCTTTATGGGACTGTTGTGCAATAGTTTATATTCTCGTTTGCAGTAGTTTTCAAATATTTTGCAATAGTTTTTACAAATTATTTAAAAAAAAAGTAGTTTTAAATTTTGCAATAGTTTTTTGAATATTTTTTAAATATTTTAAATCTTAATAAATATTTTTTAAAGTGCACATATCAGTTTTAAATCTCCTGACCAATCGACAGGCCTGATTTCCATCGTCAAGAGATTCCCTAGCAAAATTTTCCTGATCCAGCAAGCCAGCAGAGGCTAACCATTCTTTCATTCATGAGCATTCTTTTAAAAAAAATTAAAATATTGTTTGAGTTATTTGGAAACTTGCGGAGCCTCGCATGCCGAAGAAACTCGTGGAATATAATCTTAGATAATGATTTACCCAATCTTTTGTCATAAACCTGTCGTTAAAGGTGAGGTTCGAGGCTAACGGGACTCCACGTTTAATTCTTGAGATGACTCTTTGGTAGAAGTGTTTCAACTCACTGGAAGCCAGTCAAACCAGTCAAGCCAGAATTAGTTCGTAGAAGATTTAGAAGATGGTGATGAAGATTTAGAAGATGGTGATGGTTTCTTTAAAGAATGCCACCTTGTCCCTTGATTACTGATAAATGAGAGCTAACTTTTTGCGAATTCTATAAAATCTATTCTATAAAATCGTTCGCAATAGAAGATATTGTCAAAAAACGAAAATAAAAACCAAAAGATGCAGTGAATTTTTTCCTCTACGTTTGAATCACTCATTTTCTATTATATAAAATTATTTAATGAATGAAATAACAACAGTAATAACAATGCGAATAATAATAATTGTTAATAATATTAATGATAAAAGTACCGATAATGGTAGATAATGATAATAATTCAGGCAAATATTGAGCGGTAATATTTCTGGTTATTCTGATTATCGAAGATTCGAATCTCTATAAGAGCGGAACTATCGAATCTTAACATGATAATTTGAGATAACCATTCTGTCTCTAATAGTAATAATAATAATGACGACAATATTTAGTAATAGTGAATAATAAACAACAAATGATGGATGATAAGCATAAATAATAAATAAATAATTAATAAATATATTTTTAAATACAAATTTAAATGAAAAATCATTAATCATTATTTGTAAATCATTATTATTTACTAATTTATTCGTTTATTAATATTAATATTAATAACTGAAAAGATTGGTGTGCACATATTGCACATATTTTCAAGAATGCATCGAATCAAAGAATAAATAGTAATTTAAAAATAAAGTCAAAAATAGGAAGTAATCATAAAAAGCACAGATTAGCTCAGAGGATTGTTTCTTCCACTCCGCACGGATTCTCGGACACGGATACTCGGATTCTGCTTCCAGCTTAAGTAATCTTCCAGAAATCCAAGTGATATTGGCGATCCACCTAAGTCTTCTAATGCTAAATGACTCTGTGGTAAAATTTACCTTACTCGATGAAAGAAAACGAAGCGAGGAATGGTGAAGGCTCTTAAAAAAAAAGGAAAAACATTCGCAAAAATTATTTCAAATTTCAACATTCAGGTTTTTCTCTCCATAGAGAATCATGAAACTAATTTTTTTTTTCTGCCATACCCAACGTTTCTGGTTTTGCTCCGTTGGCTAGCACGACAGTTATATGGGTATTAAGATGAGATTTATTTAGACATTTTAGTCACAAGAAGAACAGAATTAAGGCGCGTTACAACAAAATCTGAATTTTTAAATGATAGTTCCATTCCTCTGAGGCACTCGAATCGAACCATAAAATGATAACCTAAGCAGACAATCACTGTTAGCCTGAATTGTTTTAAAAAATAAGAAATTGATATGATATTTTAAATGAGATTCAATTCCAGTATAAATGAATTTATCGTTATTCTTGAAATTTGTTGAATTTGCTATTTGCTATTCATGAAATCACTGAAAAGCAATTCCTGACGAAAATTGAAGATTTTTTATTTGCAAACTTTACTTTTATAAAACAAATTGTTTAACTGCAAATTTGTTCGTTATTTTGCAAAATTTATTTTAAATTTCTTTAAATCACACTTGAATCTCAATTATTTTATTTTGCCCACATTCATATTCATTTACTTCCCCTTGTTTCTCCCAGCACTGAGAGCATTTCTGCTTTGGCTGGCTCCATTCCTGGGATTACTGGGATTTCGAAGTCCCTTCATTTACCATTCGGATTCATTCCACTATAATATTTTTTTATTTCGTGTTCTCTTACCAATTATTTGGAATTACCTGATTTAAAACTAAGAGAAGATCGGTAGTTCTAATTTGCCACCAACAATAATGGTTTTGTGACTTCGCTCGAATTCAACATTTTTTTCGAAATGAATTTCGATCAAAAATTATATTTTTGTTTATGTTTAAAATTTTTATTGAAACAATGTGCGCTTCATTACATATAAATTTACGAAAATAAAATATGACAAAATCACGAGGCAAGGCAAATATGAAAAAATTATGTTTTGTTCACAAATCATCGAAAAAAAATTTTCATCCAAATTCCAAGAAATGATTGAAAATAAATTTTATTGTATATGTTTTACATTAATTTTTTAAAGGTTCTCTAAAATGGTGAACATATTGTGGAAATTTGGCATTTATTCGGTTATTTCATAAAATTTCTATAATTCCTAGTTTGGCTTCAAACAAGACGACGTGTGCTTAGCATTATCGTTAAGTCAGAAGCAAGAAATCACCCAAGCAGATATCTTTCTGCGTGTATCTCGCTTCACACTTCTAATTCTCACCAAAAGAGGAAAATTGATAAGCAATTTTATAGTTGATAAAAATTTCATACAAAAAAGCCACTTTCCAAGAAATAGTCGGTTGCTGTATATCAAAAGCAATTGTTGGTCAGCTTTCTATCTGCTGACATGAATTTTTTTTTTCACTTATCTTCATGTTTTTAGAGAATTACGACGATTTTTTTCGCTGTTTTCTTCAGGATTTTGTGTTTTTAAGCGAAAAACGAGGTTCAGTGCTTGTATTTATCATTAGAATAAACGACATACACTTCATCTATTCACAAATTTCTTTCCGAAATCTTCGAAGAGTTGCATTGAATCGAAGATAAATTTAATAAATTTAAAATTTATAAGCGATAAAACAAAAAAGAAAAAATTAGAAAAAATTTCACGTATGAATTACAAATAATAACAAGAAAGATGGCTCTTACAGTAAAATAAGACCATCCACCGATGACGCAGTTTTTAATATTCGTCATTAAATAGGTACTTCCTAGCACTATATTAACGGAAATCAACTTGCACATGCAGCCTAGGAAGTGAAACGATCTAAGAAATGTGACCTAGGAATATTTTTTATATTCAAAATCAAAGCACTTGCCGAAAAATAGGCACATAAATAAAACGACATTCCAAGAAAGGCCCAAGATATTTTACAAAAGTTTTCTGCGATTGACTAGATATGGTATAGTAATATGTAAGAGATTACTACCTAAAAACTATCACTTCATAATAGCTGAATACATAGCTGCTTTCCTATAAAATAGTTTTTGAACTAACATTTGATTTATTTGCTGCTTTACACAAAAAACAGTGACAAATTTTTAAAAACAAAGTGATAATGATAAGCGAGCAAATTGGAGATATAAATAAGAAAATATTTATATTTTTAATGAAATTTGAATGGCTTTGAGTGGAAAGTTTTAAGTCAGCAAATGCTTCCCGACCTAATAAATCATAATTCGTTAATCTTATCAGATATTCGCATGGATAGCTCGGTGAAAGTATTATTGTGGCTGATGATACCGTCTGAAATTCGCTTTTGTCATAGTGATGATAAGCGATAAAAATTTGCATAAAATTCATAAAGCATGCATTTTTTAGTTTCTGTAAAAAAAATAGTTTCTGTCAAAAAAACTTTAAAGGGTAAAAAAGAAATGAGAGAAATGAAAAAAGAACTTACTGCATCTAAGTACATATTAACCGGATTCATCGCACAATAACTATTCTGTGAAATTGCATAATACAGTAACTGATAAGTAAGTATAGACGAGTGGTCACTCGCTGGAGTCCACTGAATGTATGTTGTGCCATTAGGGAAAATTTCGCCTCTCAAGTTTTGAACTGGCTCAGGAGCTAGAATATAATATCTAAATATTATTAAATATTTCGAGCTATTAATATAAGTCGTAAATTATTTGGCCAGTAATAAAAACGATTCGCGATTGGCCAAAAGGAGATCGTTTAAAAATGAAAGGGCCAGTTGTTTGCTATAGATGTCTGAAATCTAGAAGTTTCCAGCGCCACTTCGCGATGTTCGGAAGGAAGAGAAAAAAGAAATCATCGAATAAAGATGGGAATTTTTATTATATTTCACATGTTAATAAATGATATATAGTAATCTTGTAATTAACAAAAGCAGATAGCACAGCTGAGATTTCCAGGACCAGAAATTTGATTGCATGAAAGTGTTAAACCAAGTTAGCCACGACGTAAGAATACGCAGGTATTTTATGGAATTAAGTTTCTTGCTGTAACTGCTGTGATAATTGTAATTATAACTGACTTTATTGGTACTTTGTTGTTATGGCGATATATTATAACAAAAGTAGTAATAAATTTTACCACAATTGAGACTTCCAGGACCAAAAATTTGATTGCACGAAAGAGTTGTAAATCTCGTTTGAATTGACGTCGAAAGATTCAATTCCAACGAATAATAAAGTGATGGCAAACTATATAAGGAAACGATGTATTCATTAGCGAATTGCAAATGCGAAAAGAGATAACCAATTCCAACATCCTGAAAATTAACTCAAAAATTCGATTAGCATAAAATCATTAGCAATCATTGCTATTGACATCGCTTTCTTTAACACATCTCTTTCAGACCCAATAATTATTTCATTTCCTTTCTTTAAAATGCAACAATTGATTCATCATTTGCCTAAAAATTCATTAAATCATGAAAATTTCCAGTATATTTTGAATATATGTCAATCAACTGAGCAAATATAAAAATTCATAAATGTGTGCATGGATATTTTCAATTAATATCATAACTAATATTTAATTATTTTAAAATATAAATGTTTGTGACATGTCTTGCATCGCAGAATTTTATGCTTAATATTTTACTAATATTAATATTTCAATAATAACTGTGGAAAGTCGAATGGCTTAATGGTTTATCGTTCTCATTTCGGAGTACAGATGCTGGGATTCCACTTCTGGCATTAAGCTTGCCTTTCAAAAATCCGTATGGTGCTGCTGACTCACCTGCATCCTCAACTGCCAACTGACCTCCTGGCAAATTTGGTCCGACAAGCCAGCAGAGCGAACTCTTAGAGAGAGAAAGAGAAAGAATTAATAAATATAAAATTTTACATAAGCAGAGGTTAGCAAAATCTGAATAATCAAATCGCTAATTAAAAATAATCAAAATATTAATTAAAATTAGTTTTTAAAATTGGTGGAATAACCGTAAAACATTTTAAAAATGCATTACCAATGAAAATTCAGATGTAATAAGATGAGTAGAATTGGAAGCAATAATTCGATAATAACAAGTGCCGATTGCAGCCAGTATATCTTCAGATAAGTTTATCGTTGGTTGCCGCATAGGTGGTGAATATGGCCAAGAAATAAGCGCCGATACACCATTTTCATTGTCAAATTTTGTCATTACTTTGAGCGGACCCACTATAAAAATTGGGAATAGGAAAGATTGTGGTTCATACAATGACTGGAATAAAGAGTGAAAAAATTATTACATGGTGGATATAATGGCTTATCGAGCTTTAGTGCCTCGCCCCATTCACTTAAAACTGCACCTCCAATGCGTCCATCAGGACCAACAGCTGTCACCATGAATCGATAGTATGTTTCTGGAATCATTCCAATCACACGAATTTCTGGTTCTGTTTCGATCTTAAAAAATTTAGTTGAGGTTGCGACTGACTTGACTTATGCACGTGAATTAATTCAACGAACACTTGAGATACTCGAGCTAAAAACGAACCGATGCAGTAATCCAACCACTTTCATCCATTTTACCTTTACTATAAATTCGTTGCTTCCACTGAACAATATATTTTGCTGGTTGAATTTGATGTCGTTCGTGCAAATCAATGAATAAGGAACCTTCGACAGTTCCATCTAATTCACCTTCATTTTTAACAATATTCATACAACCGATTCTTACTGAACTCACTAGAGGAGGGCTTGTTGACTGACCTTAATTTATTTGAGAAAATGAATGAATGAAATTAAATGAATGAAATTTCGCGAAATCTGGTGAACTGATGTGTTATGAAAAGGTTTTTCAATGCACTTTTGCTATCTTTCTCCTTTTTTTGCAGATTTGTCTGGCGTGATTTCCATAAGGCATTTAGATAATCGCTTAGACAGACCAGAGAACCAACTGATGCGCCCACACTTACTCAGGAATCAGTTAAGGATGCAAGGATGCGTAGTGTTAATGCTTAGTTTATTCATTTAAAGAGAAAACGCAAGTTACTTCCTTGAATGGAGGTATTAAACCAGAAATCTACTCCATCATCGAACGGACTTCGAATTTTTCTCGTTTCTTTTGTCGCAGTTGTTCGTCTTTTACATCCAAGATCACACTAGAACTTTGTTGAAAATGACTTTAATTTTTATAGGTTAATTCTCTGTTCATTCACTAAAAATTACAATGCGATGCAATTGCATTTCCCATTTATTTCCTTTAAATATTTATTTATAGTTTTCGATATTGAAAGACGAAAAATTTGCTCAAATCCCTTAATGACTTAATAGTTCGCCTTGTATAAAGAAGAAAATCCAACCATCCTTCCATCACTGTTTTCATTTTTATACGTTTCAATGAAGTTTCCATCATTTAAGCGACGTCGATTCAATTTCCCATACTGCAATTTCAATCTACATAAATGCTAAATCACAAACAACAAATAGCTTAATATTAGAGTTCCATTTCACTGCAAAAATTTGCAGAATATGAGAAGTGAAGTGAAATTAAAGAATAAATCTTTTTGCAAGGCTAATTGATAAGAAGTAGAATAGAATTAAAAATGATAGGAGCCGACCTTGTAAACACATTTCGCTTGACACTGAGCCAATCGAAAATAATACGCAAAGTCAATTTGGATATATGGAAGAACAATAAATCCATTAATTGAGTTTATCAATAATAAAGAAAACAATAAGTTTCCAATATTCATCATCAAACTTCATTAAAATTTAGAACGCGAATCGAGATAACGTTATTCAGAAGCTGCAAGATTATGCAATTTCACGAATTGATAATAGTTACAGTGCGAGAGGTTATCATTTAAGCGAGGCATATGATAATCGCATAGCGACGTGAACAAGAGTAATCGGAAGATAAGGGATAAAATGGCTCAGTAGGTTGTTGTTCAATTCGGGGCGCAAATGTTGAGGTTCTATTCCCCACAGAAAAAAGCTTCGACGGACTTCCTGGCATATTTGCAGAGTACAATCTGCCAGCAAGTTTGAAAAATTTGAGGTTCCGAGGGGTATTTAGCTCTTTCTAGCTCTTCTGGACAGAAATCTCTGATTTTGCCTTTCTGGAATCTTGCTGGACGCATTTTTCCAGCTTAGAAACCCCGTCATCGAATTCTCTCACCATCACTCGACCATATATGAATGAAAAGATGAATTACTAACTGAAACAATAGCTTAATTTTGCATTATATGCTAAATCAATTGTTGCTCTCATATCGTGCAGGTGGGGTTCCACTTTGGCAGGAGACAGGTTCTTTCAAAAACCTGAGTGTTGCTGCTAATCCACTTGTACTTCGGTCGCCTAGTGATTCCCTAGTGAAATTTAGCCAGCGAAGCGAGTCGAACCCGAAATGGGGAGCACTTTCAGAATAGAAAATTTAGTAGCAAACTGAGAGGGGGGTCGAGTGCTTTCTCAGTGATGCTTTGCCCAAAGAAGGGGTAAATCCAACCTGTTGCTTGTTCTTCCTAAATCAATCTGTTATGCAATTTTCCGCTTTAAAATTCAGCAATTTCCCCTACAAAAGGTGAACAAATCAGATGCGAATTACATTTCTAATTTACAGAAAAAATAATAAATGATTCAATAGACAAACGAACAAACGCAATTTATTCATTCATTGACTATTTGGCAATAAATAAATATTTGTTTTATAGCATTTTTTTATTCGAACGACAATGAAATGGTAAGCTTATTTATATATCTAATTAATTAAATAATATTGTTAACACTCAAACGCGAGCGGAATGGCTCAGCGGGTTGTCGCTTGCATCTCGGGGCAGCGACGCCGGAGCACAAAGCCGGTCGGAGCAGTGCGACTTCGAAAAACTGCGATAGTTCTGTTACCTGCAGTTCTGTCGCAAAATAGCTCCGTGGCCAGTTCGCCCGATTCGACAAGCCAGCTGGGCGAGGAACTGGGAATAGTGAATAGCACCGTTTCGGAGCTCGGCAGATTTTCATTTATACAATAAATTATGATAAAAAATTATAAATATTGGGAAAGTGGATGAAATTCATTTCAGAGTTTATCAGATTTTCGGAAAACCTTTACCAACCAAACTTTCGATTTTTCTATTAATATTTCTATTTTATCGAATTTTTTGATTCACTTTATGCAGTAATTTTCGAGAAAATCCTATTGGTAACTATTTTAAGAAAAATTTTTCGACAATTTTTTCGTGTATTTTAACCATATTAAATACAAAGAATATTTTAAGAGTTTGGCGTTAGCACAAATGAATGAATTCGAACTTATTCTACACTAACATAAATAATATAACAATAATCTAATAATCTAATATTAAAAACAAAGAGAATCGCTGGCAAAATGGTGAGATTAGATTTGTTCCGCGGAACGCGTTAAATCGCTAGATAGTGTACATTGTTTTATCTCAGCGGAGAAAAGAGGAGGTTTCGATTGCCAGTAAAAAATGAATCGAATTATGATAACGAACCAGGAGCGGATTCTTATCAACGCAAAAACACGACCGATAAAGAATAAATTAGAAGTAAATACCGCGAGAAAATGGGAACATTGACTGGTAAAGACTGAGCGAATGGTTTTTCCACTATCTCTTATCTCTTGGCGGGAGCAAAACATTATCAAAGCGAAGGGGGGTGAAAAGGCGGCCGAGTGACTCCTCTGCAAAACGATCAGTTGAGCCGGCAAGCCAAGAAGCCGTTCAGCCGTTCAGCCGTTCATAGGGCGAGGCGATGGAGAATTTAACGGCAAGAAAAACTCTCTTTTTTCATGAAAGAATATCTGAATTAAGTAAAAATGCATTTAAATGGAGCGGAACGAATTCCGGTTGAATACAAATAAGGAGGAAGCTGCTATTAACGCGGGAAATTCGAAATTGCAAATATTCCCAGTATTTTTAATTGCAAATTTCCGTGTTGGCTACGAATCACTGTTTTAGTTGTGTTTGTTTGTGTTTGTTTGCACTATATAATGTGAAAATCTATGGGATTCCATGAAAAAAAATTCCGGCTAAATATGCGTGAATTGTGCCTTTGTGAAGAATGAGACAACAGAACGGAATGGAATGTCGCAACACAATAGTTTGTTTGTCTAATAAATGGTAATAAATAGCAATGTAGAAGAGCACCAACGGCAATAAAATATAACAGGGCTTAGGTTCGACTCCAGCCGACGCACGCCTTTCGTCGGGTGGCTCGGAGAATTGTTGCTCAACTCGGTGCACTGATGCTGGGGGCCTATTCTCGACAGGAGCAAACCTGTCCAAAACCCAGGTGATGCCCAGCTGCGCCAAGCGATTCCTTGGCATATTTGTCTAGTCCGACAAGGCAGCAATGATGAGAAAAAAATTATAAAAAGGATTTTAAAGACTGTTTTGCGTATGCATGCATACGTCCCTCAAGAAAAAATACCCCTAATCTTCAAGTCTCTTAAAACAACTCTCAGAAGCAAATGCATATTGCATGCATTACGACAGCGACATGCATAAAATGAGTGGGAAAGTAATGTTGGCTAATATCTCAGAAACAATTATTGCTACAATAATGACAATTAATTACATTCTTTTAAGTATCTTTTATTTATTGAACACAGCCGAGTAGAAATAGATTTCGAGAAGGATAAATGCCATTTTATCGTAAGATTTAGTCTTATTTAGTGCTATGTAGTGCATTTATATAAAACGATAAAACAACAGCTTAAGTGAGTGACCACCAATATTTCTTGTAAAATCGAAATGGTCCATTGACCATTCTATTTGCAAATAATAGCAAATACGCTGCATCAACTGATATGTGAATCAATTATTCAAAGAAGAAAACAATAAATCCATTAGTGACTGTTTTCAGGAAAACGCGATGATGAGCACTGCTTCACAACGCAAAAAATTGCACAAAAAATTTATATAGTTGGCAAAGTACCAAAGTTTTTAGTGATCCCCCTAATTTTTATAATATAATGTTATTGCCTCAAGCAGAGTATGTATAGCATGGAAACGATGCGGATGTTATAACAAAAAGACCATTTCGAGGAAGGCCGCAATCAAATATGACAGTAAGGAGATTTTTTTCTAAAAGATTACTGTTAGACTTGCTCGGCTGGCTTGTCGGACCAGTCACTCGGCGATGTAAATACAAGCGAATCGCCAGCATCATCCCGGAATAAGGAGATATTATTAATAATTCAGTGCGAAGGTCATTCAAAAAAGAAACATCTAATTAGATTTCAGATTTCAGCATAAAATGAAGAATTGCCAAAAGTTAGTTGAAAGCGAACTATCCCGTGAACGTGCGTCGAACCAAATTTTGCCAGGCCCACTCCACTGGCTTGTTGGTTCCAGTGGTTCCAACAAATAGATTTTCTTAAAGATTTTCGCCAGGAAATTATTTGGATAAAAATATGAATGAGACGCATGGGAAAAGATGTATTATCAAATTTCTCTTCTTTTTAATGATAAATTTCAAGTATGATAAATTTTACAAAAAATTTAAGAAAATCTTTGAGAAATCTTTGAGAATAGATTCAAAATAAAAAATTGAACTAAAATAAATGGCTTTTCATGAGAGTGGAAAACTGAAAAATGTAGTTTTCAAGGAAATCTTTCAAGGCGGAGTCCATAAATCAGTAAATCTTCTTCTTCTCAAGTATTGCTAATTAGCGATGGACAATTTTTCAAGGCATTATCTACTAATTTGCGTCCAAAAAGAGTTATAAAATCATGAAATAGAATAAATAAAGAGAAAATTGGTCTTCGAGTGAATTCAACTCAAATAAAAATTTTCTACAAAAAAAGTGCATAAAGGAAGTTAGAAGGAAATAGACCGCTCAGAAACCGTGAATCCTGTGGATCCCGTGGACCCTCAACAATCAACTGGATTCATCTTTGAATGTCGATCTTTAACAAATTTCATCTATTATTCTATCATTCACCCTAAACTGAGTATAAATTTTTTAAGTTGACTCGTTGATTGACTTCGAAATTCGAAAAAAAATATGAGAAAATTTTGAAAAATTTTCCAGTTTTAAATGGAAATTTTTAATTTCCATTTATTTTTACCAAAATTTCTTTCACATTTGAAGAATAAAAAAAATTTAGGAAATTTGGCGAAAAATTGCTATAGATGAAATGAATAAAATAAAATTGTTGGCGCGAATTGGTCACCAACAATAAGCGATTTGTTAAATTGGCTGAAACAAGCGTGTCTTTCCATGCAATTTCCACTCAATAGGTGTCCCATGCCATCTTTTTTCTCACAAAACAACAATCTGTTAGGGCAATTAAAAACATCTTCAGAATTCTTCAAGATGTGCGATAAATAATCACTGTTTATCTTTCCATCTTAATCACCCCAAAAGAGTTTTGTCAGGATTAAAACATTTGATAAAAGTTGCATTTAATCGTGTGGCTAAATCGAAATTGAACAATTTTAGTAATTTTAATAATTTTGCTCATCATTTCTTCACTGTTCTTCTCTCTCTGTTGCTTGTCGGAGCAGACAAGCTTTGCCAGGTAGTCACTTGAGGAAAGAAGCACAGCTGTGTCACAGGCATTAATCCTAAGATTCTTTAAAACAGATGTTATTAGATTTATATCCACTTGTCTTTGCATAAAGAAGTTAGGAATCTTAGTCATATTCAAAGAAAAAAAATTGGCAATTGTAGAAAAAATAAGTCTAAATAAGAATTTCAGTCATATTTAAAAACTAAGGAGATTTATCATATCATTGTAACCTTTCCATAGCAATCTTTAATCAATGAGTGGATTATTATTACAATCAGAGAAAATAAAAAAATTGCCATTAAATCAAATCTTAGATCAATTCATTAAAATTAAAATTAAATTATAGTTATAAGTTATAAATTAAAAAATCCAAAATTTTTTCGCAAAAATTCAAAATTCAAAATTCAAAAAATTATCATTCTTTATCTCATGATTCTTATTTTCTTCGATTAGGTACCATTCATAATTGTGCTTAAATTCATCGTTTCTAACAGCTCACATCATTTTTCTTTGGCTGCCTTGGCACCTTGGCACACTGCTAAGTAAGATGCTTCCTTAAGGAGTCATTTAGTGAAAAGAAGTATCACCAGACACCTCGTGCTTCACATTTCACAGTTTCAGATCTCTTGACAAGAGACAGGAATCAAACTTAAGGTCCACAAAGTATTTAAAATTGTCTTTTAAATACCTTTAAAATAAACTTACTAAAATAGAAAACCTGTCAGTTCAGTAAATGTATCGAATACAATACAATAAGTAAAAGAAGTGACACTTAGTAAAACAAATTTTGTACCATGATTTAATTTGTACCATGATTAAATTTGTACCATAATTCTTCTTGTTCTAATTCCGCTGCTAATTCTTGTCTAAACAATAAACAATACACCACTCGATCAAATTGCTTGAACCAATTTATTCAGTGCCTGAATTTCTTCATGAAAAGCTACCGGAGCAAACCGCCTAAACTTTCTTATCTCCAAGTTCAAAAAAAGTTTCATTCATAGAATTAATACAAATATTACTTATTTTTTGCATTATTATGTTATGGTAATCAGTTCGATGTTGTTAGCACTTGCAAAACCTGGCTTTATTTGTGAACAAATAGCATTCATTGCTTATAACCTATAAATTGTTGACGACTTATAATTTTAAGGAAGGGAATGAATCGGACAATGAGAGGAGATTCATGGTTAAACGAGGATTACCCAAAAAAACGAAATTATCGCATTTGCGTGAAATTGTAAAATGGCGAAAATTCTTTTCATAAATTCCGATAAATGACTGATTTTCCAACCTTTAATTGAAATACAAAAGATTATATATTCGATTAAAAATTATTTTTTATCGGAAAATCAATTGCAATTTCAAAGGGGAGTTCAGAGAGCGGTTCAGTTTCAGTCGGCTGCTTCTGCGAAGAACGGATGCTGACGTTCCACTCTCGACAGCAGTTTTCCAAAAATCTGCCGGCGACTCACCCGCACCGTTAACTAGAACACTGGGAAAATTTGTTTGCTCCTATCCGACAAGCCAATTTAACCAAAAACGATGAGTGCTCGAAGCGAAGAAAATTTCTTAAATTTCGTCTTTCGCTCTGTTGAGGGGCGAATATAAGCGCAAAATAATAAATTTACGAATGAAATTAGGTTAGACCCTCCTTTAAAAATTTATCGAAAATATTAAGCCATAACGCTTGAATTAACGATTTCAGAAAATTCAGAACACCTCGTGGCAAAAAATTATTCAGTAAAATTTTTTAAAGATAATTGGTACGATAATATTAATTGATAAGGTCAGTTCAGAAGCTACGAAGGTCAGAGGGAGAGAGATTTGAGCAGTTGCGCCTTTTGGCTTTCATTTTGCATTTGCCCGAGTGGCTATATTGATGTTCGCGTATTTATTCCTTATTTTCCTATATTTTATTTTACAACATGTTAATTTAAACTGTTTTCTGTTGTAAACAACATATTTAACATAAGAATTCCAACAACTGACAAAATGACAAGCAAGCGAAACCGCGATTATCAATTTCGAATGAAACAAGAAAGCCAATTGATTAGTTTAGCCCATTTGTTCCCAAATATTTGATTAGATTGATTAAGAAACCTAAAAATACCTCAAATTTGAGACAGAAAGTAGAAACAATGCACAACTGTTAGAAGAAAGCAGACAACATTAAACTAAACTCTACGATGCACAGCCAGTACTTTCAACTCCCCGAACGAAAAAAAACCACCACGGAAACCACGGAACCAGCGAGCAAGCTGTATTATGAAAAGGTTAGATTAAGCTTAGATTCTCTAAAATTATTAATCAACGGTATTGCGCAAAATCACTCTATTTATCAAAACGAATTTATTCACAATTATTTACACAAAAAATCATGAAATAATGAAACGAAAAAAAATAATCTAAAAAATTCACCGAAAATATATTACAGTCGGCATTAAATCTTAGAAAAAAAATGCACAAGAAACAGACTGGCCACAAAAACGGAAAGCACTGTATAATATAATAACTATATAATATTATAATTATATTTCGACCATCTAAAAAATTAAATTTGTATGAAATTTATACAAAAAAATTTCCAAAATCCTAAATGTTTTTCAGCATATCTAAAATATATAAATTTCTCACCGCGAAATATTCTGAAAATAAGGATAAACAAAGGCTTGCAACATCATGAAGAGATCACTTCATCATTTAGATATATTAAGTATACCAGTAAATTCGACAATAAAGAAACAAAAGGATATAAAGGAATAAGTATAAGAAAAAAATGTTAGATGTTTGATCATGAATGATAAATGACAATCAAAAATCCAGAGACAACACTAAAAAAACAATATGATGGCAATATAAAATGAAAAAAAATGAAATAACATAAAACAAGCTGAAAGACTGAATAAATTGCTAGATAGTTTTTGCACTGTCATTAATCGATTCCATATTTTTTGTAGCAAATGAAAGACCATCTGACTGAAGTGGTGATAATATGAATGGAATGAATAAAATTAATGGCCATCGTTGTCCCAGTGATTGGCGAATATTTCCAAAAAATCCTACATTGTAGGCATGTATATCCTATAAAAAAATTTTATATCCTATAAAAAAATTTAACCAATTTTACATTAAATTGAAATTCGAGGAATTCTACTAGAATCAACAATCAAAAAAAAATTTAGAACTAAAAATAAATTTTCTTTTTCCAAATAAAATAAAATAATAATCCACCATTTCTGATTAGGCAGGTTCCACTGATTATCTCTTCCAAAATAACCTCCTTGGAATAAATGGGATTAATTTATTTCATAAAATAATTGATTAAAAAGCATCATTACCATGAGATACTCCACACGAGTTTGTCCACGATATAAGCAAAATATTTGTGCTGAAGCCAGATAAAACAGAAAAAGAAAAACAACCAAAGATGAAACATATAAAAGGACACATAAAAATTGTGAAAATGTAATGACGCGAAATATAAGAGCCAAATGAGGAACAATTAATTGCCAAAGCATTAACACAGAGATACCATCGAATGATAACCACATATATGACCAATTCCAACTGAAAAAAAAGGAAAAGTAGCAAATAAAATGAAAAAAATATTTTAAATTTTAATTTTAACCTTTTATTTTTGAACAGCATTTTATCAAGATTAATAATAGAATCTTTCTGAGCAACTATCAATCAACATTTTTTCTTTAACCTTTTGATGCAGAAAACAAAATCGCTATTATTAAAATGACAATCAAAAATCCAGTCATTCCTTTTCATTCCTTTAAATATTCATTCATTCCTTTAAATATCACTGAAGTGACGAAATATCACTGAATGTAGGATAGAAAACAAGATAAAATCTACGTGAGTATAATCGCCGATGCAACCAAAAAATTGAAGACAGCGGGAATATAAAATCGTTGATTGAAATGTCCAATGCATTCAGCAATAAACGAACAATGATGATCACGACGAAATATACATTTATCGCAAACTTCAATATTTAAATTCAATTCAATAATAAGCTATGCAAAAAATTATTATACAATTGTAATTGTAATTGTATACTATAATACTAAACTTTAGTTATCATGAATAAAAATTAAAAACCTGGACAATGATGAGAACGAGGAGGTGCATTCAACTGACAAAAATGACAATAATGATAACCAGGTTTTATTACAGCTGGAAGATCTGAACCCTTTCCATTTGGTCCAAACACTTTTGTTTTATAAACATTTACATAGCCATTCAGAACTAAATAAAATAACAAGAATGCTCGCCAATTCCAGCCCTGCAATAATTTTTGAAAAAAACACCGAGATAAGCTACTCAATCAAAAATATCCTGAACCAGAAATAAAAAATGCAATTGCAAAAAAAGGCTGCAAAAATAAAAATATAAAGAGTTTAAATAATTGGAAAACTTATCAAAATTTGAAATAAAAGTCATTTCAAGAAAATTGTAGAAATTTAAATTTGAAAAAAATAACCTGAGAAAAGGGTTCAAAAAATTGTGGCAGAATGGAAAAAATCTCGAAAATAAAACCAATGGGCAAAAAAATAAATAATATTAAAACAGCAATCTGAAAATTAAAAAATAACGAAATCACTAGTAAATATTTTTAAATTCAATTTCAAAGACCAAATATATTTCAAAAAAATTTATAAAATTGAAATAATGAAAAAAACTTAGAGTAAACGAATTTTCTAAATGTATTAATATGCTATACAAATCAATTAATTAATTAATAAGATATAAAAACAATAAAAACCAAACAATATCAGAAAATTTAAAATGAGTAAAATTATCACTGTTATAAAGCTCACTAATATTAGTGAGTCGATCTTCTTTTCTAAATTATTAAAAAGAAAACCACTGAAAATATGGATAATTATAAATAAGAGTGAATGGGTCCCCAGAATCCACATAGATTTCTTTTTTAATGATCTCGATTTTATTTCATTATATACGATTTAAGAACATCGTTTTCTTTTCTACAAGCGCGTTCACCATTCCCCATTAGACTCGCCCATTTTATAAGGGAACCACCTGGCGATAGAAGGACAACTGACTCTATAAAGTCATCCGGTTTTGAGGTCCACATGACTCTATAAAGTCATCCGGTCATTCTGAAAGTCAGATTTTATTTCTCTCCGTAGTTGCACCTCAGCATCGATGTTCCAGAGCGACAGCAACGACCCACTGCGCCAATGAATTCTCTGGAACCACTCGCTATAATTTTCTATCTGATGGATAATGCAATAAATGCCTGGTGTCCACCATTACTGGTGAGGCTACTTCACCGGCTGTTACCTGGCGATGGAAGGACAAATGGATCGTCAGGTTTACTTCCATCGGAAGCAAGGGCCAAACCTTGCCTTTCGTCACGATAATCTAAACAATTATGTCCTCTACTCCATATGAATTTTAATACGATGCTTTAAAATAAAATGGTGGATCACCTTGGCGAGTCAGCCATTCTCATTAATGATTTTCTCCGCAATAAGGCCAATTAAAAGGTTAAAGGTTAAAGGGTCAAATGGAGGTCAACTAAAATAAGAGAGCGAAAAGGACGAACCCGATCTTGCGTCTCCGATGGAATTTTTTTCATTAAACGTCCAATAAAATCGTCAATCGCTTCGTCGTTAACTGCGTGAAAATTATCCGCACCACTATACATTTTTTAGTTCAAAATGCTAAAAAAACGCTAATTTATTTCAATTCGCATCTATACAAAAGTCCGAGGTCAAAGTTCACGAGACTATCACGAGAAAAAAAATGAATAAGCAAAATTTCTTCAAATCTAAAACTTATTGCGCATCGGTACCAAGATAAATTCCGCACGAATCTACAAGTTAGCTCCACCCACTTAATGTGTTAAATGAAACGCTAATATTCTGCTGTACCAAATCTTTTAACGAATAGTCATTATCATTAAAATCTGATTATTATCACTTCGTTAACATTTTTTTAGATGACAATCAGCACATATATGTAGGGCAGAAATAAATCAGTTTTTCAAAAACTGCATGAGTCACCTATATTTCTGTTGCCAGGCAATTCTCTGGCAAAATTCAAATGGTCCAACAGGCCAACGAAAGAGCCTAATTGTATTCCTCACATAAGTGTCGAAATCTAATATTATCAGTAACATTATCAGTAGCGAAGAAACGCTGCAGAAAAAAAGACATGGAATGCGCCAGTGGAGGAATTTTTTATAAATCATTCAACGTAAGCCTTTCATATAAGACTTTCCTTAAAAAGGAGCGTCTGTTCGAAGATACATCGAAAGGACATCGGGAATTTCCAGAACTTCAGGATTATTGGTCCAAATAACTTTTTTCGCCGAATTCTCCATTTTATTTATTTTATTTTTGCGGTGAAATCAGTTTTAGATATAGTGAAATGATTTGATACAATTAATGTTTTGGCTAATTTAACTTAAATTTATGAAGTTTTAGGTAATTCGTTTTTTCTTAATTTTTAATTAAATCTAATAAAATCTAAAATCTAAAAATTCAAAAAATTTAAAAGTACCGACGGTAAATAATAAGGCGAAAATCGTCGACAATTGATAAATCCTTTCAGCTTATAGCTGATAACTTATCTGTTAATTGAATTGACTGATGCGTTGTGATAATTATTAGAATTTTATCACTGCTAATTTCTATAACCATTGAATTTAATTCCAATTTAATAAATTTAGCAGTTTAGATATTTATATTGCCAATTTCTGAATTTTTGCTTGAATTTTATGGACAAAATTGAAGGTCAAAGCGCATGCATAGGTTAATTCAAAATAAAGCATAGCGATGTGGAATATGTGTGAGGAATAATGAGAAAGATAAAGGGGGAACAATTAACTGTCGAAAAATAATGGCGATGATATTGGTGGCATTTGTGGCGTAATTGCCAACCTATTCAGTTACTCTCCATTTTGAATAATAGCACTTATTTTTGGGCAGGCGAATAGTTTTAAGATGCTTCCAGTACTTTTCATTTTCCTTCATTTTCGAGTAATTAAGTAGGATTTGTCTAGATGGACGATTTCCATTTTCGTTTAATAGTGTCGGTATTCCTAGATTACTAACGTGAAACTCTCAGATATTCTGAAAGCAGAAGCTCTAGAATACAGGTTTCGTGTCTCTTATTATACATATACATATATATATATAACGAAAATATGTTTGATTCTGCAAGAGAGAACGGGGAGGTGATTTCGCGCATCCTGGAAATCATCTTTAAAAGTGGTTATGTGCAAAAGCAGACCGAAGTCGCCCACTTCACGACTGAAGGGGTGCAGCTGCCGGCTTCCTACCGGATGGGCACATTTATTTTCAACAGAATTATTAACGAAAGTAGGATATGTGCTTGCGATTGATTAATTGGTTAACTTTCAGAAAAATTACCGCAAGAACGAAGATGGAAACTTATAAGCGAATGCTAATGACTATATCGCTATTGGCTTTTGCAAAGCCTTTTGATTTAATTCCGTACAAATTTAACGATTTGCAATTTTATATAAAAATTGCCAAATGTGAAATTGTTTGTGCCAAAAAGGTTAATAATTTGACTTTTTTTAAAAAATTTTTTAAATTTTCGGAAGAGAAATTTTTAATTAATTGGTTAAAAATGAACGCTATTAGCACAACGCTGTGAGATTGTCGGTTTAAATTTGTTTGAACCACCAATGAATGTCTGATTTATTGCTGAAAAATTTTGGAAATTTCGATAAAATGGCATCTATGTTTGTTTTCAATCTTTCTAATCGACAGATTCGCTTGGCTGGCTTACCAGCATAGATGAATTTTTGCCTCACTTTTGCGACAGAAGGCCATCACTCGAACTTTTGAGCGACTGATTTACTTTTGCTAGGAGAAAAGAACCCCAGAAACGGCGCTCCGCAATGAATACATTAATGCACTGAATGAATCGTAACTAAGATTTACTTTTAGTATGGTCAGCCGAAACGAGGAAATTTTAGAAACATAACAGAATTCATCACAGACAACGGCGAAAGACTTGAAATGGTATCTTTTATCCAGTAAAATATGGCGACTTCAGCCTTATTTTGATAATAAAATTATTCAGTGATCCCCAAGCGAATCCTTGCAACTGTAGTTTGACTGAGGATCTTCACCAGCCATTAAGTCAGATCCTCATTGCCTTAGCTGGTCTTACAATGTTGTATTGAATTGTCATATTGGCCAGAAATCAAGAGATAAGAGTCCAATTCACGCAGTTTGGCCTCATCCAAAGCCATTACGACTCATGATCGAGCTCAGTGCTATATAAATTTAAAATTATATGATAAAAAATCTCATTAACACTCATTAATCTTTCAACAATATTCTTCGCAGTGCGAAAATGGTTGTTGGCAACGATTTAAGGGCATGAAAAAAGTTTCGCGCCCATTACAATTTGCTTTTCTCGATGGTATGAAATTTTGGAATGGAATTCTGCAACAAGAAAGTATTTTTATTTTTGAATAATTTTGTCATATCTTATCATTATATCATTGAAAAACAAAAAGGAATCATTCCCAGCCATTTCTTGTAGCCAAACTAACTCTGTAAAACTATATCCTCTTTTTTCAGAACTTTCAACTTTTAATTTTTAAATATTTTATTTTCCGTCCATTTCGTAATTTCGGTAGCTAAATTTTAAAATTCCCTCAGTGACTCACGTGAAAATAAACGGAAAAAGGTATAAAAAGCGAATTAGGCGCAAATTCTCTGTTTATTATTACCCTTTATTAATTCTACAACCAGTGGGATTAACCTAACCGAAAATGGAAAGTACCAGCCACTCACTTAATTTCTTTTTTCTAACTGTCCACTTTGCATTTCTAAGAAACCAATAACTTGTAATTATTTTAATTTAGATCTGACGATGGATTCTAGCAATTTTTCGTTGACAAAATCAATTAATTTAATTTGTCTTGATGCGATTTACAGTAATAATAATGATAATGGTGGAATTATTAAGTATTTTAATGGAATACTTCTCGTTAAACTGAAAAAAAGCAAAGTTCCTTTGAAATTTATCATCGAATGGATGCAAAGATCTTATCACGAAGATAATTACTATCAGACACAGTGGATTAGTGCATCAGTTGGCTCATTTTTCATTGCTTGCAATGTCTTTATAAGAGTCATTTCCAGTTAGATCAATCGGCGCTGTCAAGCTTGTTGAACGAAGCGATTATTGCTGGAAGACAGATATTTGATATCATCAGTTCCACTTGGAGTTTTTGAAATAGGTTCACTTCTGCTGGGAGTGGATCCATTATTCGCCCTCAGATATGAGGGCAGCAACCCACTGAGCTATTTACTTTCAACTATTTTCTTCTTTTTCTTCAACAGATCTCTTTAATATTGGTTAGACTGGCTGCGCTGGCTACAAGAGTAAAATGTCTCCAAGCTGCTTGGTCCGACACCATCGCTAGTAATAATAGAAGCCATTCCTTTTTCCACCGTCTAAGTCCATATATTGCTGGTCCCTCTATACGTTCTTTCCTGACTGTATCAGTCCAGGTCTCGATTGGCCCACCTCGCTTTTGACGCCATCCATCGGTTTAGCATGCAACGAAAGCGTCAGCTCCTG